GCTGTTAAGTGTTCAAAATCTAATAAATTTTTCTACTTGGAATTTCATAAGAAACATCAGGTCCATGGACACCACCACCAGTTCTCTTGTTCATTCTTCCTAGTCATTGGCTTAAGCACATCAACTTCCAGATGCTGTGATTTCATTTCATCAAGTGCCTGACAGCTTTCTGAAATTTCCTCCTTGGCCTTCAGACCATCCACAGGTATGGAGGGTACAGTCGCTTTCTGTGACAGCTCAGCAGGTGACCTAAGACCAGGCGGTGTAAGACTGAGAAGAGGAGGAAAGTCACAGAGGCAGCGCAGATTGCTCAGGGCAAACACACAGAATCCCACCTTACCAGCAATGTAAGCATGGCAACAGCTTCTCACTAGCCCTGGGACCAGCCCCAGCACACTCACGTATCAATGGACTTTCTCTACAGTTGGGAATAGCCTGACTCCACAGCATGACATGTGGTTTCTTTGCCTGCACTGAGGTTTTCTACCTGCAAAATGTACAGATAAAGGACCCAAGATCCTTTGCCTGCACTGAAATGATTCTCCTGAATTAGATACTAATATTGAGCCACTCTACACCCTTTGGACACTTGGGCCTCAACTCAGATTTCCTTTGCAACAAGACTGTGAAAACCACTTTGATCTCTTTCTTGTAGGGTCCTTTGCTGGGCAGACAGATAACTCAGTGAAATCTAGTCTACGTATTTGTTCCTGGAGAGGAAGTGATTAAGCTTTTCAGGCTGGAACAACATCCATCATCAGGAACTGGGATTGAGCCTTAGGAATGAGCTGTTGCAAATGAGAGGGCCCAGGGAAGTTATTTCTGTGACTAGTGATGTTATCTTCTATGCTGTGAGGTGGTTTTGCCAACCAATGCATTAGGATCTGCAAAATTGAAGGATGAGGGACTGAAGTGGAAAATATCACTGACTTGTGCTGGAAAGGGTTAACCCCAGCAAACAGCCTGTTGAATTCAAGGCGGAACTTAAGAAAGAAAGGAGCAGAGCAGACTAGTGATACTCTTACTCCCTTCTCCACTGAACCCAAGGGGAACAGTGTAACTAAACTCATACAGCCTATTCCCAAATAAGGCAAAATTATCTGGGAGTTGCTAAGCCCCAGAAAAGAGCTACATTAAATGGATTACACCCCCTGCCCTCCAAAATTAAATGAATACAAAGCTGATCCAGCATTTTTGAGTGTAAGGAGCCACAAAACTCCACTGAAGGCATCCAGGTCTGAGCCATTCTTCCTCCTAACTGGCTTCAAAGCTAGCACTCCTAGACTCCATTTTCCTACTTTTCTAGTTTATGGCCCAACTTTACTTACTTGTTAGAATCATGGCACTGTGCTCTTGCATCCTTCATGCCATCAGCTTCCTCTGCACTCATTCTCATCATTAACAGTTCACACATCTCTTGCTGATCAAGGGGGCTCCTCTGCTTTTCAGTGGCCAACTAGGGGCTGTACTGCACATGGGAACAAGGCCTGGCATCTTCCTTTGTCTTTGTCTAAAATCTGTTCCCTAAAAGTTGCGAGGTTTCCAAGGATAGGATTGTGGGTATGTAAAAATGCATATGTCTCCTCCCCGCCAACCCGTGCTGCAGATTGAATCTGTGTAGGCGATAAAAAATAGTTCTAGTAGCATAGATATGGTAGCTATATGTGAGGCACTAGCTCATTAAATCCTCAAAATAACCTTTCAGGGAGGTATTTATGATCTTTATTTTTAGATGAGGACATTAAGACTCAAAAAAGTTAGATGTCTTGCTTAAGAACATCATTTATAGAGGAAAGAGGTGGAATTCAAATCCAGGTAGTCTGACTCAGAATTGGTGTTGGAAGATGTTGGGAGGCAGGGAGGCTAGGAGGTATCCACTTAGGGTAGAGGTAGGGAGAATTTTGAAATAATGGAACCAGCTGGGAGTCAGATGGCTCTTTCTTATTATTGGGTATCAACAATTTTCAATAATGCAGTGAATTTTTTTTTCCACATCGTTGGACCACTCCTATCATCTTATTAGGCTGGACCCTGTCGTGTCTGTATACGATGTCGGACACTGGAGCAGTCAGGCTACACCTTGGAAGGGAGCTCAACTGAAACACTGAGAATGGCAGAGCAAAAAGATGGAAAGAACCTGGGATTGTTTTTTCACCTTTTCTTTTTTTTTTTAATTACAAGTTGAGCATCTCTAATCAGAAAATCCAAAATCCAAAACACTTCTGGTCTCAAGCATTTTGGATAAGGGATACTCAATTTGTACATGGTAAAGTATATATAACGGCTGGGCGCGGTGGCTCAAGCCTGTAATCCCCGCACTTTGGGAGGCCGAGGCGGGCGGATCACGAGGTCAGGAGATCGAGACCATGCTGGCTAATCCGGTGAAACCCCGTCTCTACTGAAAAATACAAAAAAAAAAAACCTAGCTGGGCGAGGTGGCGGGCGCCTGTAGTCCCAGCTGCTCGGGAGGCTGAAGCAGGAGAATAGCGTAAACACGGGAGGCGGAGTTGCAGTGAGCTGAGATACAGGCCACTGCACTCCAGCCTGGGCGACAGAGCGAGACTCTGTCTCAAAAAAAAAAAAAAAAAAAAAAAAAAAAAAATGAATACTATATATAAAAAACATAAAATCTATCATTTTAGCCATATTTAAGTGTACAATTCAGTGGTATTAAGTACGTTTCGCAATGTTGTGTATCATCACCATTACCCATCACCACCCCCAACAGAAACTCTTGTACCCATTAAACAATTGCTCCCTATTCCTCCCTCCTCCCAGCCCCTAGTAACCTCTATTCTTTCTGTCTCTGTGAATCTACCTCATATAAGTGGAATCATATAATATTTGTCCTTTTGTATCTGGCTTATTTTACTTAGCATAATATTTTCAAGGTTCACCCATGTTATAACATGTATCAGAATTTCATTCCTTTTTAGAACTCAGTAATATTTCAGTATACGACTGGGTTTTTAATGACATCTTTGAGCCCCTGTACCTTGGTGAACCTCTTGTTAACAAGAGGTTTTTCTTATGGTTTAGGCCATGTGGCATGGGGTTTTCCTAACTGATACATAAGACTCAACTCGAGTTCTTCCCTGTAAAGCTCCAGGGTGGGCAATAAGGCCCAAAGAGTACTCAAAATGAAAGCTCTTCAGCATGATGCAAAATTTCCCAGATTTCCTAATATGTGTATGCACTTAGATATGTGTGTGTGCACATGCACATATGTACACAACACACAAACACATGACTAAGCCCCCCAAATAAGGCAAAATTATCTGGGAGTTGCTAAGCCCCAGAAAAGAGCTACATTAAATGGATTACACCCCCTGCCCTCCAAAATTAAATGAATA